CCTGTTTGGTAAACAGTCTTAAAAGCCATAAGTGCAAACAGAGTTGAGATAGGCCTACATAACAAAAAATTGGGACCTGGTTTAAATGATGATTAAACCAGATTTTGATGGGTTTACAAAGTTCCCAGCATTGAATAGGAAAAAGAAATGGATTTTATCATTTACAGCTCATATAACCATTGAAGGTTCAGAGAAATCACTGTACACAAAACTAAGACTGGATAATCACGATCTTCAGGCCTTCTGATGGGCGATAAATTATCGTTCACAATAAATTGCCAGAAATATCCTTCATGATAAATATCTCATGATAAATAAGATAAATGTGAGTTGATGACATAAGCAAAAGTGACAGACTTGCAGCCATAGCCCACACAGATCAGAATAACAAGCAAACATGGCTGAAGGTAATGAAGGTAATGGTAACTCCCAGGGTTGTCTGTGCCCTCGCTACTATGTCCACAAATTCAGCTGAAACTGTGCTGTTTAAAGGGGAAATCATGATGACTTGTTGAATCTGATCCATGAATGCCACTAACTCCTCTTGGTTTCAGATGGATTAAAGCCAAATAGAAAACTGTTCTGTGGTGTGACTGATCAGGAATGGACACTCTTTTTGAAAGAAAAAGGGGAGGGTCCAACCAGCTTGTTGTGAAACAGAGTATTTCATTTTTATTTTTGTTTTTTTTTTACATTTTACAGCATCCTAACTTGTCTAAAATTTAGGTTACATTACATATGAAAAATTGATGTATTTACATACAGGAAATTGTGGAAACTGGGTAATAGAAGCAAAGTTGTATCAGCATAGCTGTGGGTACTTGTACAACAGCAGGACTATGTTTGAAACAAGTTGATATATCTCTTCCTAAAAATAGAGTCACAATCATAAATACCTGTTGAGGCTAATTCGAGGAACTGTCTGCACTTATCTTCCAACTTAAAATACCATCCTGCCTTGTAAACAACCCACTGTCCCGTTAAAATTTGAGGAGTCCTTCTAAATCTGCTCTGTGTTGGGTAAGGCTGTAAATCTTGACATACAGTAAAGATTGTGGACACGGTGTAAATCTTTCTCTCCACTTTGCCCTGTGGCCCTCTCCTCTGAATGAGGCTCAGTGTTTCAGTCACACCTGCTCACCTTCCCCAGCCTGCCGCCCTTGGACATGGATGAGCTGAGGCGGAGATGAGAGGAGGTGAGGGGAGGCCTTGGACAGCTTAGAAAGGGGGCAATGACCCTGCATACCCTGCAAGAAGTCATGGCAGAGCCTCTGGATCGGCACTTTGTGAACTGCTGGTTGCGGTTTTTCGGTCATGTGCAGGGGCGTTGTCACGTGCTTGAGAAAGATTCATGACCGGTGAATTTTTGAGCAGCAAATGTTGGAGCTCAGAAACCCACACAGTGTGCAGCCTGCAAAGCATTAAATAAACAGAATATATACCCTCATGTAACTTTGCAGTGTGCATTCACTAATGCACTGCCATGTGACTGAAGTCACTTATTCTGACCTCCAAGGCAAAGGAAAAAACATGAACCTTGAGTACTTACTCATTCTGAAAACCACTAACAACCTCTCTTACAGTGCAGTTCTATGTCTACAGAACATGCTATATTAGCCTCAGTATCTAACACGAGCATGCAACAATTCTGCAGACACATCAAGCACACAAAATATAACCTCTGGCGGTATATTTAGGCCAGCGTGTAATTCTCTTGTAAATACTCTCCTGCTGTCTCGACATCTTAGCCACAAAAAGTTTGATCCATGGCCTTTTTTTGCTGAAACTTGCCTTTAAAACAATAATAATACACTGTGAACAAAGAAGGTGGAAAAGAGATGAACATATTTCTAAACATGCTCAGACTGGGAGTGTATGGTTAGAAGTACAGCTGATTGGCTTAACTAATGCTAACCAGGCAACGTGAGCAGTAGGCAGTCTCCTGCTTTTCATTAGCACCAGCTTGCTAACTGGCAAGTGCACCCGGCATAGACTTTCCAGATGTGCCTGTCCTCGTATGATCCTCAGCTCTGCTCTAAGATCTCACCTCGAGGCTGCAAACCGAGACGAGGAAACACACACAGCAAGGAAGTTCGTTCAGCAGCCTGCCCAAGAAAAGTCAAATGTATGCAGGAAGCTGGACAGACTGTGAGAAAGCTGCTCAGCAGAGGGTCGGCCACATTAGCACCACATTGTATGACTGGCAATGCTGCCTGAGGAGATGCCGGTCTTCAATGAGTATTTTCACACAGTAACAGGCTTTCATTAACAGAAAAACATAGGGTGGTCTCTTAATGCTCCTTAGAGGTTGACCTCCTGCCTGTATATTAATCCCCTACTTGTGCAATTAACTGACACCTGTCAGCTGACATTCAAGGGCCAATACGGGCCCTTCATTGATAATTTACCACCAATAAGTTCTATGCACAAGATTAACTTTCTTTGGATAAATGTCAAACTCTGCTTTAGATGATTTAGAAATCATGTATGCATGAAGTCTGATATTTAGAGTGTGCTCAAACTCCAACAGTTCTCTCTGCATAAACTGAAGCAGACAGTAGTCTGAGCTGAGGATAATTGACTACATGAGGTGCCTGTCCCCCCTGCACCAAAAGGAGCTCTGGTTGAATGTCAGCCGGGGCCTTTCTGTGATGAGTCTGCATGTTTCCTCATGAATGCATGGGTTCCCCCCAGGTACTCCAGCTTTCTCCCACAGCCCAAATACATGCCAGCAGCGTGAGTGTGTCTGGTTGTCAGTCTTATGTTGGCCCTATGATTGACTGGCAGCTCATTAGGGGTGTACCCTACCTATTGGCGCCCCGCCCCTTAAATGGTTGTTAGTTTCACTTCAACACAAAGAGATCATGGATTGATGTGCAGCAAAGTTGCAGAGTACTGGAAAGTTGTGGATGCTGCCAAGTTCATTGTTTACTGCAACTATCATGCAGGCACAGACACAGTTGTGTGTCTGAAAAGCCAAGGGACAAAGTGAGCACAATGAAAAAGCAGCAACAATGAGTGTGTACCAGCTAACAACTAGGCTGATTATTTCAGTTATGATGAAGCACCCCTATGACGCAGTAAGTCCAATTCACTGGAAAAGCATTTTAAGACATAACATGAAAGGTTTGGCTCCACTACTGACAAAAGCCTGAGGGCCTTTAGGCAACTCCAGCATTTTCAGTTTCAACATTTCAAATCTAAGAATTAAACAAATTTTATATCTGATCAGATGAAATTTGGGTGGTCCTGATGCTGTCATTTTTCTTATCCCACTGAACTAAATACTCAGCTGTGAGAGCAGACGTTTCTGATTCCACTTTGTCAGATCACCCAATGTGTCTTCACAGCTCTCCAGACCAAAAACTCAACAACAATGCATGAGAACAGTCATGAAGTATGCTGGCTTTTATTCTCCTGACAGCAGCAGTTAAGACTGAGGGGAGTGGGAGAAACTGTGAAAGGAATGTAACACTGACACAGAGACAGCAGCTGTTAGCAGAACTGCTGTGTAACACTTGATTTTAATACAACTTTGAACTTAAATCAGAAATGTAACATGTAAACATCTAATCAACAACACTAAGTAGTCCAACTTTTAAGGATTGAACTCGCAAATTTTCACCAAAAGTACCAAATGAATCTGTTCTGAGAAAATCCTTCTCAGACAGAGAACCTTTTGTGCACCAGTGACAAAAATAACGGAAATTTGGATCATGTCTGTACTTTGTGTGCTTGCTCAGCTTTAAATGAATAACAAATGGATCTGCCAGGCAGGGAGTGACAAACACTGGCTCGGCAACAAAACCTCCTCAAAACAGACTTCTCATGTTTGTCCAAAACATCAGCATCACACTTGCTATTAATTCCAATATTAGGTCATTGTGCTTCCTGTTTGCTGCCAGAGACAGCCAGGGTCAAATTAAACTATTAGCAAACAGAAAAAGAGGGCTCGAAGACTGTCCTGAAAAGTCAAGAGATGAAGGTATTGATATCAAAATACATGACACATATACCACATAATTATTACTGATGTTTGTTTCATGATCGCTCACTTCTCTTTGGCCTTGTCTGTTGTATTTTTTCTCATGTACCTGGACCTGCCTGCCTCTCTGTTTCCAATCACTGTTTTTCTGCCTGCCGAGCATACCTGTCTGTAAGTAATTCAATGTACAACTAACAGTACAAGTCTGCTGCACTTGGGTCCTGCCTCCAAGCCTGCACTGCAGACTGTGACAAAAGGATGAAAAGATGTGTAGTTGTGTGGTTTATTTTTCACTTGCAATTGAGTTTGCCACATGTTAAATGTGATGCCTCTAGGAGTCTTACAGCAAAGTCTGTAGTTTGGATCAATTCATGTCAGCTCAGAAATGCAAACAAGAGTTATGCGGTTAGGCTACACAAACTTTAACTTTTGGCTTAGCTTAAGCTCTGTTGTGACTGGCACTAGCTTCTTTGCCATTGAAACACTGGCTGAAACCTGCGTATTTTAGATAATAATGGATAGGTCTGCCTTTCCAAGCTGGAGGCTCTAAAAAAAAAGCTTTCTTACATTGGAAACTGGAGGAACTCATATGTGTGGCCATAAGACAAAGTGAGGAAAATCGCCAATAAACTGAGGCTTACTCCTATTTCATACTTGTTTATTGAGTCCAGATTTAGTTCCCCATTGGCATGTAATTCTATCTTTGCATAACTGGCTAATCTGTGCTGTGCGCTCTAACTGACTTCAGGTGATCACTCAGTGCCAGGGTAATTCTTTGGAACAAAATCGGAGCAGATTTCACCTCATGTGACTCCAGGTCGAACCTGCATTAATTTATCATGCTAAGCTCTTTGAACTTATGGAACTTCTGGCTATTTGATTTCAACATCTGTTTCTGTATTCTTTTAAACTTTCATGCATTGTGTCCTTCTGTAATTCTTTAATCTTTTCTTATACAAAGGAACAATGCAGCTTCCTGGAAAGATAACTAAAATATGTGTTTCATTGCAGTGACTTGGCAACAATGTTTGAATGTATTTTTTTCATTCCCATGAGTTCCTACATTATGAAAACATATGTTTGGTATGATTTTTTAGCAGCTGTTTTATCAAGTGTGCCTTGGACTCATCTTCTATCATTGTTTTATCACCTGGCTCATCATAAAACTTCATCATACACTCACAAAGAAGGACAGTCTGTGTGCTGATTTGTCCAGCAGAGGGCAGTAGTCAGCCCTCTTGGGGTCAAATGCAGGTATTTGATACATTCATAGACTGTATATACTATGGACAACTTGCGTCCACCTTCTGCCAGTATACGAATTTGAAGTCAAATTGCTATTGGTGTTTCTGGGATTTTCTCAAACAGCGTATCTGGGTGAGCTACGCAATCTTCGTACACCCATAGGCTGTATCAAGTGTCAATCATGACCCCCCTAATAACTTTTAAAAATGGAGCTGTACAGCAAAAAGAGGACTTGAGGACAAAACAGTCTTACAGTAACTACATGTTAACATCGCAGGCAGGGGGAGAAAAATTTTAATTCTGTGCAATTACTTTCTAAAGTTAGTCCACAACTCCATAGGGATTGCTTGAGGAGGCAGGATTTATGACCTATACTGCAGCCCATCACCAGCGAGGAGGCACATGGTGGCCATTCTATATACAGTCTATGGATACCTTTAAGACTTTGAAACTGAAGCCCCTGTTTTACTGTTGGTTTAAGATTTCGTTGTTACTGACATTTGGTGAGCACCTTTGCTAATAACAAGGTTGATGTCAAATGATGACGATTAAACTTTTCCTTCTTTGCTCCCTAGTGTAGTCAAGTTTTCTTTATTACTTTATTTGACAGGGGCCATTACATCTGTGGTGCCTTGGCAGGAAGGACTGTTGGTTATGGTCCACATGCCTAAGCTGGTTGTGTATCACTCATACTACTCTGTTATCTGTACTTGTTTACATCTGGGTAGTGGAGCACTGAAGCTCTATGGCTGTCACTTATGACCAGAGTTGCAGCCCTCATGTTGTTTTAAACTGCAGCAGAGCAACCCACCATATGTCAGGTATTTGAGGCCCACAGCAACAAAAATATTACTGATTAGAGAAGATTAGTTGGATATATGTTTGGGCGTAAGAAGCAGCAAACATCAACCTGGGTCAAGCTGTGGCCAAGCTCATGGAGAAACTGTCTCTATGCCCACAAATTTTCACAGCAACACCAGACTTCAGTGTTGTCTGTAACCCGTTCCATCTATTTAAGAATACACAAACCAACCAGCTGTTTTCAAATGATGTCTCCATTGAATTATACACTGCTTGGATTCCCCATAAGCCTCAGTGGGTGATCACACCACTTATTACCCTGCGCAAAACCACATGAGTGACAATCTCAAACCCAAACGGCTGTAAAAGGCTCTCAGGGCTCTTTAAGGGTTCCTGGTTTCATCGCTGTCAGTGACATAGACAAACTGTGTTCATATGAGACCACACAAAGACAAATAGCAAGGGATCCACAGACATCGGCAGAGGGATGCCAAAGGAAGAGTGGAAGCAGATGGAGGGTAATATCATGTCGAAAACAGTTACAGAATCTCATCATAAATATTGAGGTTGCATGTTTGATACAATAAGGTCAAAGTCATTATCACAATCTTCATCAACCACAGTCACTCAAACATGACGCCTTTCATTGTCTCTGTGTGCACTTAAAACACAAGCTAAAGAAGAAGAGTGCTGCCACCCACTGAAACCGTGATCTGTTTTTGATTTGTTTATTTTATTGACAGTTTTTTTCTTTTTTCTTTTTTTTTAACAGTTCTCAAATATAAGAAGATGGACTAGGGTGATGAAGCATGAACTTATTTCGGAAACGTTGCTCATCAGCCTGGCCTGATAAGCAATGATGAAGAAAAAGTGGAAGAGACAAACAGAACTCCTATAGATGGCTCAAAATGTACAGTGAGTTTACCTCAAAATTACAACTGGACCCCTAAACTTTAGCTTAAAGTCAAGAACAACTACACAACTGTGATTCATGATTTGGCATTTCAGGATATAAAATGTCAACTAAAGCTTGAATAAGCTAAATCCACAAGTCTGATGTATGTATTACTGTGAAAACTGTCTTATAGCTCAAGGTTTAAGAGGGCCAAGACAAGATGTATGAGATGGGGAACAATTAAAATGTTCAATCTGTTCCAATCCCAAGAAGCAGTTTTTATACTGCTTATTTCTCCTTCTAAAAGTTAATGATCACAAATAACAACAAATATTAAAGGTTTCATTGGAGTCTGCAAAAAGTGCTATTATTGCATTATTAAAGACTTAAAGTATTACATTATTAAATTATGAGCTTAAAATATTTCAATTAATTAGTCTCAAATTAATCAGGATAATCGGGTTAATCAGGAAGTACAAAAACAGCATTTTTTATATCAAGACTCACAAATTTGATCCATTATTTGTCAAGTCTATAAATACACTGAGAATAATAGCCTTTTTAAGTGACGACACTTGATTACTTAAGTATGTGAGTCCAGAGATTGGGACCAATTCACTTTTTCCTGACAATTTAGAGCAAATCTTTGAATGACCTGAGTGACAGAAGGGTAGAGGTTTACATCATTATTTCAATTTCAAAACTAGACTGTAGCAATTCTGTGGAAAACAATATTCACAGTCTGCCATGGCACGATTGAATTCAACTCAGTGAGGTCAATTTTTGTACAATATCATGTACCCTTAACACAATCAGTCACAAAAAGGCAAAGCTATCCTGTCATGATCGTATGAGTCTGAGTCTGCATGGACCCTTGGCAGAGGAGTCTTAAAAAGGGATATTGTGGTGTAAATTTAAGTTATGGTCCAGCAGCCTCTTGTATGTGGGGGAGCCCTGACGAGTCGATCACCATATGCAGCGGATCATTTCCTTGAAGTTATAATCGTCATATTAACCATTTTGCACTGCAGACGCGGTCGTTCTTCTGCCTTAGTCGTCTCAGTCTGATTGCATTTCCATGATTGTTGTTCCTTGAGTTGCGCAACTCTGCTGCACTCGGTGATCGACACGTCAGGGCTTCCCCACAAACAAGCAGCTGCTGGAGGAGAGTGGGTGAATTGTGTCTGATGTCTTCGCTAAAGAAACCAGGCAAAACTAAAAAGATGTTTGGTGGCTAGTACTGTGGCTGGGACCCTATATGTACTGTTGATGGAGTTACATGCTGTTCTGAGCATTATTTGAGCCTCTAGAGGGACTTTTTGGTTGAGGTTCGCATGTGGAGATGTAAACCGCTGTGTATTGCTATCATGCACTTGTGGCTGAAGTTGGTATAACTAGAGAAGCAAGCAGTCGGCAAAAGTTATCTCCCGAGGGGGTGTCTAACTCTGTGTTACGGTGTGTTTGACCCTGACTTAATTTTATGCCAGAATATCCCTTTAAGTAGGGTCTGCTGATGTGAACATTTTGCATAGTGTCCTAACTGTAATGAAATTATGGGTTACAGACAGGAGGACAGACAAACAGACAAAATGACTGATAGATGGCTGAATAAACTTTAGACATAGACATATAACATCTTAACAAATAAAGTTTTATGAAAAGCTAATGGTACAAATTTTTAAAACACCCAAAAATTTACAAGTATGACATCAAATTATGTGACACACTGTAAAAATTCCTGTTTATACATGCAAAAATAACCTCCATAATAAGTTATTATAAATCTATTCTTAACACAATTATTAGAATGGATTCAAGCATACTCCACTGTTTTTTAAGTGACCACTAACATACAGTAGGGTCATACACATAGTTTCAGGTTCAATGAACCTCACAAAAACAAACTGAACATAAATGTAAATGGGCTGCTGTAAACTCCCAGCTGGTTCTGAACTAAGTTGAGCCTGATGGGGGTTCACCGCCAATCATTACAGATTATAACCCTCACTTTGATGATGTTCAGAAATACTGCAAGGACCAGAGAATAACAGGGTTTGCTATCTATGTGGGTCACTGTGGGGTTTTGACTGTGGCTGAGGGAATATGAAGGAACGAGTGGAAGCGGAGGGCTGACTGTCGTTCTGTAAGCCAAACCACAGCTGGCTAGATTACAAGAGTCTGGATTAGAGGCATTGGGTTGGGGTTGGGACTGGGATGTGGATCCTATTGATGTTGTAACTCCAACAACACATTATTAAAGCATCAATGTCATGTAGGCAGACAGATTTCAAACAGCCAAGGCACTCACATTATGCTGCACTGAAAACAAAGTCACTTGATATTTCTGTGTTTATGTGGCCACTTTTCTTTGACATCACGATGATTCAAACAGGTGTGTTTCATCATTTTTCTCAAGTATTGGACACCTCTCAAGCTAAAAGACCAGGAGATAGAGGATTATAACCCAAGCCTGACATCTAAATCACTGCAAACAAAGCACAAAATAAATATAAAGAATAGCAGCACATGTTGTTTTCGTATTTTGCACTCAATTGTTTTCAGATGGAAAATAACTTCTCATAAAGCATCTTCTCAAGTATAAAGTGGAGACCAAGAAAATCTGCAGAGCACACTTAGCCTCTGGCCATGGCTGGCAGGTCATGAAAGCAGCACTACACAAAACAGCACAAGCTTCATTCATGATTGTCCTTTGCACTTTGAACCTTATTAAGCCACTTAATTTAAGTAATAACTGATCTGAAGGCAGCTACATATCAAAACAGGAAGAACTCAAAAGTTTTCCTCTTGCATGTTAAACATTAGCACCAGCATAAACATCCCACATCTTGACAGTATTTATGTAAAGCCAGAGTTTCTGTAAAACATTTCGGGGTGAAAATAAATCTACAATTGTTATGCAGAGAGGATTTAGTGAAAACAGTCAACAAAGCTGGGTTTAAGTCATCACACTCAGCAGACACATTAATTTATGATCACAACTAGAACTCTGTCTGCAACACCCAGCCCTACACAGCAGAGGTTGTCTAGATAGACAGCACAACAGCTGCTACGGCAATGCTGCAAATGTACTAAATTGGCCCAATCCCAATCCACCCCCTACACACTCGGCCTTCACTACCAAGAGTCACTCGTAATGAAGTTACACTTGCAGTTGTGGAGTGTGCCTCAATTGAAATGGGAGGGTATAAGACACGCCCTGTGCATGGCAGCGTTGATGGGCATTATGTACAGTTCTGAGCCACACTGGCTGCCTAATTTTTTTCCTTGTCAGTGGTATCATAAATCCAGCAACCATCACAGTGACAAGAGCTGAATTATATTTCTTATTGTGAGTGATTCCACACGTCTTCAAACCTCTTTACTATTTGACATGCCTGCACAATCAAATCGAATGTCAGCACAGAGTAAAATTTCCGAGTTTCGTTTGATCTTTCCAAACCACGTCTTTTGTGATTTTTTTTTTTTTTGTCTGTGAGATGAGGTTGGACACATGTGGAACTTATATTTGTATGTTGTTTCCTCCTCTTCTATTTTTGTCAGCGCACTACCTGCAAGTGTGCAATGGTGCAGACTCACTATTTGAGGGCTGAATTGTCCACTCACCCCCCGCAGTCTGTGGTTTTGGACGGCCTTCAATATGGCAGAGCCTCCGCAGGGACATGCAAACAGGGGGATGGGTGTATAGAGCGAGTGTGTAGGGGGAGTGTGTAGGGGCGGTTTGGGATTAGGTCATTCAATGCCAAGACAAAAGGCATCCCTAGATTTCAAGAAGCAAAAAACAAGTTTTCTATGATTGACACTTATTACAGCCAATGGGTGTACAAAGCCACCCAGGGGATAGCCTGTTTGAGCTGAGTGTCATCACAGCGACTATTGGCAACTTTCCCGCCGAATGCATACAATGCTACTGCACAAGTGGTGGAGTGCATACAACGCTACCATGCAAGTGGTGGAAGCTACAAGAAATGAATCCTCAATCAAGACAGTCAAAAATAATCCATAAGCTATTCAACTGTTGTGAGGTAGGCAAATCTTGAGTTAGTTAGTTAGGATAAGATCAAGTTATGCAAACTTGCTATTATAATAGAGCAATGTATTGTTTTATCTCCCTTTCCCAAAATTCATTTGTTAAGCTGACACAGCTTGAAATATTATGTATTTCCGACAGAAGTAAGAATCCTATTTTACAATTTCACCTGAGTTTGTACTGCATCTTATGTAAGAGGTAACAGGCACATGAATAAATCTGTCTTTTTGGAGGGCAGACTGTATTATATGTTACAGTGGCAACAAAGTGGAACAGTTCAGCTGTACTAGTGTCGCTCGCCAGCCTCCATAAATGTCCCATAAAGAATCAAAACTGAAAATAGGGGGGTTGTATCAGAAAAAAAATGAAGCCTTGTATTATAACGCAGTATTTTCCTGGAGGGTAAATTTCTCTGATCTCCAGTGCCTGACACTTATATGAAAAATGATGTCGGTGACCATGAAAGTAGTGGGACCTTAGCTTAAATAAAGCTTTAACTGCATGTCAGAATGACACTATCTTTAGTCTTGATTTAACCCTTTTCGAAACAGCTTTCAGTGATGAACGGGTTTTTGAATAGATCTTGAGGCAGAAAATGAATTCATTTTTAAAGGCTACCTGGTTTTCAAGAGCGATCCAATTTGCACTCAACCAAGTACCCAATTTCAGATTCTTCAGAGCTGAGATATTACTTTTCATACCCTGTGAGATGACTTTAAAATACAATATAGTACTTCACAGGTGTCTGGTTACTTGACTGAAGAGAAAGTCGAAGCTCTGAGGGCATGTTACTGCTTTTTTCTTCTCTTCACATTGGCCTAAAATTGCTTTTTTCCATGAGTAACAATTTCCACAGTGGCTCCATCAGACTGGTATGTTTTTACCTGGACATCAGTCCTGTGTTGGCGATGAAAAATCTAATTCTGAAAGGATCAACTTTTTTTTGGTCAAATAAAATCCAAACACTTTAGTATTTAACTTGACTTTACTTTATTTAGATGGCACCTTTCATTTAAGCATTTCATTCATGTGCTTCACAGCGAAATAAACAAAAGTAAGAGGAAAAATGGACAACAGTAAATGAGACTGTAAAATGGTACAGTTATGGCAATAAGAACACGAAACTTTTGGAAATCCAAAAATAAAAATACTTAATGGATCAAACAACACAAATTAAAGGTACAGTATGTAGTTTTTAGCCAGGATTGAGTAGAGTGGACTCTGGAAATTGAACAGATTGTCAAAGATTTATTCAAATAAGTGTAATTAATATAAGAATATAAAACTTTCTGTTTTACTGCAGAGTTTGTACCAATTTTGCATTTGGTGTGTGGGCGCCCACAATCCACCATTTTGAAGATGAATACAAAGATGAGTGCACTTTGAATAGTTTAGAGATGCTCAGAAGAAAAGTAGAGTGATGGCATTGGCAAAATCTTGTTTAACAGATAAAACATGTTGAAGGATCACTTGGACCCCCTACTCTGATCTATCCAGGTGGCAGCCTTCTGTGTCGAAACCAGCTCTACTGGACTTCATGGCATAGATGGATGCAATAAATAAAAGTTGCCACATGACAGAAAATGTATCATCCCAATGGATTATGAAAAGCTTAAGTTTTTTCATCGAGATTCACTTTAGGAGCATGTTAAACTATTTTTTTTTAAAGACTTGAAGTTATGTTGTAATTTTCTCCGTACAGCAATGTTGGGGGAATAAAATTTCACCGATGGCACCAGTATGGCGAGCTGGCCTTTGCTGCATTACATGCATGATGCACTCATGTTATAGTAATCAAACTAACTAAGCTCATATTGTTTTTAAATGTCTTGTTTGTTGTGTTTCCATGTGTATTTTAATTTCAGACCCATCATTACTGTCCACTGGAGTCGTAAGGTTTAACAGGACGCTGCCAGGCTGTGGCCTCCCCACACAACCCGTACACTCAGAATGTCACCGTGACTTCATAACCACATGTATGGATGCTGTCTGCTGAAAGAAAACATCATCGAGGATTATAAACGCTTGATTGTTTATTGGGATTTCCCAAACCCCAGAGCTGGTCATGATGCAGTTTATAAATGAAAACGTGAGCACAGGGATGTGACTCAAGTTGAGCGCTGATCTATGTTAAAGACACGTGGCATTGTCTCCACTTCAACGTGATGCCTGAGGTCATAGTGTAACTTCGTGTTATATTTACCCACAAAATTAGCAGAACTGAGTATAGAGGAGCATGTCTCATATCATCAGTCATGCTCGTTGGCAGAAGGTCTTTTACAGGCTCAATAACTTTAGAGGGATGAATTCAGGGGAATATTCTGAATTTGTTGTTCTATTAAGGCACCTGAGCAAAATAGTGAAAAACGTGAGCATTGAAGAGTGATGGAAGATCATTTTGTTTATCTATTAGGATCTACTCAACCAGCAGAAAGTGGCTGAAAAGACATCTTCACCATACGTCTAAACAACGTCTAGATTTGGACCGTCTAAATGAAGCCCAGTTTTCAACATCTTTTTTTTGGGCTAAATTACAGCCATGACAGGCCGACATGATTTAGCCTGAAAAAAGACATCTAAATGACGTCAGGTGTTTGGTGGGTATTAGTGTTACTCCAACAGGGTGGACGGGATCCTGAACCAAATCTGAGGGGTCTCTGGCCATGTTGTTTAGCCTGATCAGTTGGCATACCAGTGTAGTGTCATTTGTCAGCCAGCAGTAGTGACATGTGTCAATTGGTTGTTCGTGGCTTGCACTGCAGGATTAAGAACCATTGCAAAGCCAGTTAGAACCAAGTATTCATTCAACACAGCTGGGTGTTAAATAAGAAAAACCCAGTCATAGATGTTGACGATAGTCCCTCTTATGCCACAGTCAATAATGTTTCCATGGCAACAGAATCTTACAAGCTTACTTGTGGGGAACAGTGAAATGCATAGTCAAGTTTGAACTTCAGCACACTTATCTAATCAATAATTTCCCACTGAACATTTTCTGAACTTATACACTGTATGTATTTTATTTAACTTCAGAGCTGAGCCTTGTTTTTACCCATAATTCATGCTTACTCCCTCGCAGTATGAGTTGGCATCCATGCTCCTTCTAGAGAGTCTTAAATTTCCTCTATAATTCACAAAATCTAAAGTACATATCATTTCATCTGTGCTGTTAATATCCCTCACACTGTATTTTTGTCTCTTTGATGTCTACAGACCGTAAACTGCTGATTAGCAAATTGCAGGCAGAAGAATATGTATGTGTGATACATGAAAAAAGTGCAAAACCAAATGAGCATGTTCCCTTACAACCACACTCCAAAAACACTGAACTATCCCTTTAAGATCAAATATCAAGGACTATCAGGTGGAAGTTATTTTAGATCATAGCTTATGTAATTACAGTTAATTATTGCATATCTTCTTCCATTGTTTGGGTTCAGGGCCTTCAGGTTGTCTGTGTGTCTGTTTAAACCGGTCCAGATTTAACACTACTTTCTCCCCGCTTGTGGACTGAGCCTCCATAATAATAACACTGCAACCCATCATTATATCTACTTTTCATATCTCTATCCATTACTTTTTTCCCCTGGTGGAGTGGTTCCCATCTGGGCACAGCCGAAATAGAAGCGTAGATGCAGCAGCACCACCCAAAACCAGGAGGCAGCCTGTCGTCTCTGTGTCTTTCCACAGAAATATGTTGCCCCCTGGCTCAGCGCAGCTCTTTACTGGAGGGTGGCAGTGCAGTAAGCAGAGACTTCACCTGATTCTGTTCTTGTCTTTAACTATCTGATGAGAGCTGTTATTTAATTGTTGATGTAAAGAGGAGAGTGCTTATGGGAAAATGTGGTCTTTTGGCTTGAGTATTAAGACATCTTAAGCTTGACAGACGGCCCCAATTATCCCCGCTTTGGTCTTAAAATATCTATCTTTTCATGACAACCTCCTTGGGTATATATATTAAAAAAAACCTAAAACGAGACTGAGTCTTCATGTCTAAAATAGCTCCATGTTTCATAAGAGAGCAGAAGCCGTCATGATACCAGAAAGACCTTGACCCAATACAGCAGGATTGGATTACACAGGAATGGTGGCTCTGGAGAAACAAATGTGGTTTCACTGGTTTACAGCATCGTAATTTACATGTCCCTTCTGCCTCTCTCCGTCAGGCTGTATATGACCATGAAACCTTCCTGTTAACCTCCAAAACAGTCCTTTCAGAGTAAAAGAGCTGATTGGACAAGACATCTATAATATCTATAATGGCCTGAGGCTGCTGCTCTGAACTGTGTCAAGAAACCTGTAGTTATACAGTTTGTCAGTTTGTTTTGTGAAGAAACACAAAGATGAAGTTGTGAAAATGTGTAGATACAAATATAATATTTTCTCTTTGACTTATGTCTTTAGGAGTATTTATATTTTGCTCAGCCCCTGTCTGGTCCCTTTCTTGCATTTGTGATTCTTGCCATGTTGTCTCTCCTGTCCTTGTTTGTAAGGGGTAGAGTCAGATTGGGGTGGTCAAACGAGAGCACAGACGAATAAAAGGAAATGACATTGATAATCAACCTATCCTTTTTTAAATGGTAAAGAACTGACACTTGAGAGTTTTAATTTCATTTTTTTAGTTTGAGATCCTTAAAAACATCTTTATTTAGATGTTGGTTATTAACTAAGATGCTCAAAAAAGCTCAGGATGAGGATGCCCCTCCTCTCTACATGCACACAGAGTTGTCTTCAGTCTATATCAGGTGTGATAAAAGGTTGGAAGACTCTCAACCTATCCTGATGTCAAAGGTCACTGATGAAGTCCGTAGGAGACGAGCGTTCATCATCACGCCTCCCAGTTCACAGGGTGCATGTCGCTAATCTTCAGCTGATGAATGCTGGCCTGAGGTCACTCTGCAAGCTGCCTAATAATACCCGACTGCTGCCTGGTTACCTGCAGACATGAAAGGAGTCTCACTGTTGAAGCTCCCAGATCAGCTGCTGGGGTCAAACTCATCTGGAAAAAGTCTCATATCATCAGAGGAGAACTGAAAGAGAGACTGTTTAAGTCAGCTGCTAATGAAGACAAGCAGAGGTTTCATTTAACAGGAGAAGGATCGTGACTGATGTTGTAATGAGCAAAAACTTTTCTTGTCAATCAATGTCAAGGAGACAAGTGGAAAATGAACAGCTTATTCCAGCTCCACAGTGTTTTTCCAGTTCTGTAACACTGAAGATGTCATGTTTTACAGCATCATTTTTTTTTTGTTTGTGGACCTGGATGGACGGGCGGGTTACCACAATAACAGACTGTAACACAGACAACCTCTGAACATTTCCCTCTTTGATCTGACTGACAACTTTGTTTTCTTAAAGCGTGACCAAGATTCTTCCATAAATTTTAGTACGGGTTTTTAAATGGCAGCATCACGCTATTGTGTTCTTATATCACACAAACCTTGACAAAGGAGAAGGTTTTTTTTTAAGTTTTTCCACAGATCAAAGAAAACTGACCAGACATTCAAATCTGACTTACAGCTTTATGCAAAAGCAGCACTGGGAATAAAAGATTTTTCTTTAAACATGAATGAGTTCTTGTGGTTCCATCAACTCTGACAGAGGTGTCAGTATTTGTGTCAGGTCACTTTTTAGAAATGGTCAAAAACTATCAAACTAGAATTGTGTCATAAACAGCAGCAAGTCCATGTGTCCATATAAATAAAGAGAACTTCGATAATTTCAGCCTGTTTTACAGAGTTTTAACCATAGACTGTATATAGAATGGACACTGTCTGCCTCCTTGCTGGGTGAAGCCACCTCAAGAACAGCACCCTCTGGTGACTGGCTGCAGTATAGGTCATAAATCCCGCCTCATCCAGCAATCCCTATGGAGCTGTGGACAAACTTTAGAAATTAATTACACAGAATATAGATTTTTCTCCCCCCCTGCTTGTGATTTTGACATGCAGTTACTGTAAGACTGGTTTTTCCTCAAGTCCTCTTTTTTCTGTGCTCCATTTTTAAAAGTTATTAGGGGGTTCATGTTTTCTCTGATTGACACTTGATACAGCCTATGGGCATACGAAGATTGCGTAGGTCACCTGTGGGATACGCTGTCATCACAGCGAATGCGTACAACGCTACTGCGCAAGTGGTGGTTCCAGGAAGTGGAGATAATCCCGGAAATACCGAGATCAATTCAGCTTCAAATTCATATAACGATGAAAGGCGGAACTAAGTTGTCCATAGTGTATACAGCCTATGGCTTTAACAGTTTCTAAAAGAGGTGGATCATTTTGGTTGTATGATGTTCTTGTTAATGGTGAGTTTATGACACAACCCCTCTGTTGAGAAACAGGATGAAGAACCGACACTAAAGCTTGACTTTCCATCCCAGCAAAAAAGGTTCAACTCACATGGACCTGACGATTATACATCTTCCCTCGTTACTTGCTCAACTATCCTTAACTTACCTGCACCATTGTGTATTTCTGGAGTCTAATAGCCAAGCTAAAGCTAAAGCACTGCACAAGGAGAAAGGTTGAAGGATCCAGTTTCAAGGCTCTCTTTTATACTTTTACTGTGCTATAAGCTAGGCACTGAGCATTTAATGTGTTGAGGTGGTAAAAAGTCAAATTTGGATTTTGCATTTTATTTCCAGAGTTCCTTTGCAGAGCACCAAAGGGATACCCCAGGAGCCTCATTTACTAACAGAGCTGTCAATCATGCCATTATACCCTATTGTTGAGCATGAAATAAGTAACTTAAACTAAATGTCTTTGAAAAGAAAACATTTGGACATTAAACAGCATGATCAGAGCTCACCATGTTAAAGAAACAGTTTTATGATTTGTGTTTTGATTTTAGAGTTTGACCCATGTCCCATCTGTTGACAAAGAGGAGGTGGGCTTTGAAACCTATGCTATAGGAAGACATTATGGGGAGTAAAAAAGGTTTTGACTTCACTTATGGGAGTTTTTTTTAATCATCCATCATTTTGTATGAGTTGCAATACCGACATTCAACATCTGGAATGGGGTTATTATACCTTTTCTAAGGGTTTATGGGCATTTTTTGGGGGGGGGGTTTAATGATTTTTTTTTTAACTTAATGCTATGGCGATGCTTTAATGAACCATATTTCAATCATTAAAAACCACGTAGGCCTAAAAATACTGCATGCTGGTGTGGAAAGCGTCAAGAGAGGCGAAAATCTTGTGAAAAAAACAGAAAAGTTGAGTTTGATATGTTCACTCAGCAGACACTCGCTCTTTCATACAGAATGTTTTCATTTCCTACAGATCATCACACTTCATAACTGTGTTTTTGCAGTGAGGGCAGAAACGACAGCCGCTCACATTAAACCTCAAAGCATGTACCTGCAGAGAAGGTCTCGGCACGTTTGAAAACAGACCGTGGCCCTGCACCGGCTCCTGCAGAGCCCGGAGACCGCGAGCCGCTGCCTGTTGTTAATGCAGCTGCAGCCAGACGTTTCCTGGACGTCCTGCACGTGCCGTGGAAAAACACATCACCATGCGCTTCCAACGAGAAATCCGCTGACCTTTACCGATCCAGAGAGGAATGTGGGTGACGCATAGAAATCACAAAATTAACAGACAGACATACCTGAAAATGAATGGAAAAGCAATAAAACAGGGACAGGGGAGAGCAAGATCCGTGAGATGTTTTCAGTTTTGAGGGTTTGTTCAAGGATGGAAAAGTTAGATTTAGTTTGCTTTCATTGCTTTATTAGATTTATTTTGTTTTTAAATGGAACCTGGACCTTGAATTACCTGGAATAGTGCGTCACAGGGAATATGTTGACATGAACAATTAGTATTTATTCTTTAAACATGCACTCTGGTGACGTGAATTGTTTTGTAAATGCACCCAGTTATCTTTATCTGATCAACATTTTAACAACAGATGGGGTCCAGACTTTTTTCTTTCATCTTGTGTGAGATTCACTTTTGCTTTCTAAACTCGTGCCCCATTGTGACAACCTGACCTGCAGTATATCATAATAAAATCTACCAAAAACATTTTCACTCACAGGACATCTGGGATAAGGCTGACAGTAAAAAGTTAAGATAATAAAATTGATGAAATTACATTATGTCTTAAATAAATATTAGGTTACTTAAAATGTATCATATTAAATATTAATATTATAGAGTTGATAAGTAACTCAGCACAGTGTCAAATTGTCCATCACAGAACAAGTCCAATTCACGTTACAGCAAAAAGCCAATCATAGTTTAGGATCTGGGGTGGGGGACCACCCTGGAGCTGGGGCACCAACTAGCTTTACCCTGAATTCGGCCCTGACACCTGGTCAGTCATCTGTAAGAAACATGCTGGTTTCCAGGCTTGAACATTTGTTGGTTTAAGCAGCTAAAGTTACATAATTCTGAGATTGGATTGACCAGTTTATCCAGCATAAAGCTGCCAGAAAATCAAATATTCTGGCCAAACAAGTTATGACATGAGCCCAGGGCTGGAACGAGGCACAAGTAAACCGGGTGTGCTGACCCCCTTCACCCTCTTTCTGAAGGTTTCCTATAAACTCTTTGACCTTGAGAGCTGTGTGCATTGGCACAAATGACTCTTTGTGTTGCATTTTGAGTCTTACATCATCTCCAGACTGCAGATCCAGAACTAACTTCTTGCTGTGACCCGACTCAAACCTTTCTGATTGAACTCTTCTCACAGAAGCTGCTAACTTCAGCATAACTGTATGCTATTCCCATGTGAGGGTTCCTGTCAGACCTTTTGGCTGAAGCCTCACCTCCTCTGTCCACTGTCGGCCTCTGGGTCTTGCTGCTTTAGATCAAGACCTGCTGGGAGCTAACCCTGCTCACTGACAGGTCAATGGTCTCTGTGTTGTTGCTGCTGCTGCTGCTCCGTCCCTGCCTGCCTGCCTGTGCTCAACTTTTCCAGCCATAACTCATTCCTTGCTAATTGGAGCGAGGGCGAGGGAACCACTTTCACATGGGAAGCCCTCAGCTTGTTTCCACCCCCGCTCTGCACAGGCTCAGCTGTGTGACGATACAAAGCTTTGACTTAAAATATTTTTTAAAAAAGGCGAGAATGGCCCTCCTGCTCCTCCCTCAGAAGTTACCTCCACTTGGCAAAAAGAAAAAAGTTCCCTCACGTGAGCTATGTGAAGCCAAACTCATAAATATAAACAATCGATGGAAACAGTTATGAGCAGCTCATCCTTCATCCAGCCGACGTTTTTACATGATCTGTCCTGATACATAAAATCTGCTATGTGAGTTATTTTCCATAACCGCATTGGCCTCAAAACAAGGATTTATTGATCAAAAGCAAAACATCCAACAGCTCACTGACTTGATGGCTATGTAATTAATGACTCATCAATTCCAGTTTTAACCTCAGTTTGTCCCAGCTGACTGGTAAAATGACAGTTGAAGCACTTGTTAGTGTTGTAATCTGCTTCTGTCACCTGCACATCATGACCAGATTTGATGCATGATTAATTTTAAGGTGGAATTTTTATAAAATCCATTTTAAGCATTTACATGTTTGCATTTAGACCTTAGCATTCATATTAAAGTTTATTTCAAAGTGCCGGATTCACTATGTAAGGTGCAGGAGAACAGAAGCTAGCCAAAGCCTTCACTCAATCCCAATGCAATATGTGTCGCTGAAGCAAGATGCATTACTTTACTGTGCAACACACGCTATCGTATTACAGTACAGATTACTGACAGTGCAAGTGACACAGTCTCATTGGGCAATGTGCATCATCTGCAGCACAACATATATTATCTATAGGCTAATATGCATGATTTCACTGGGTATTATACATTATCTGCAGTACATCATGCATTTGCTTCAGTCAATAAACAAAATTCTACTGGGCGATATATATATTGTCTGCAGCAAAACATGCAATATCTGCATTTTAATATGCATGATTTCACTCTGCAGTATACGTTATCTGCAAGACAATTTGTACAATCTACAGTAGAATATACACATTACCTTTCCCGTACTATACTTAACCTGTAATGCAATGTATATTCAACATGGCTGATTTATTAATGCAAATAACTGGGTAAACTACTATATCTACAGTCCAATACTCACTACATACAAGAACATTACTCACTATTTCCTCAGTTAGAAATGTTATCATTGTGTTATAGATTATGGCAACATATACTGCACTGTAGATAATGCATATTGTGTTTTATGTGGTGTGTATTGCAAAAAGAAAAAAAAAGGAAAAATGTTATATTGAATTTTTCAGGGTAATAGGCATTATCATCAATATAATGTACATCATGCACAACATAATATACATAGCCTTTGTGTAACATCCATGAAGAAAAATATGTTTGATGTAAATATTTTTGTATGGCATTTTAATGGTTAAATGCAATATCTACAGTGCAACATTATTCATCAAGTACTTTACATTATCTACAGTGCAATACACATTACCCTCCATGTTACATATATCATCAGCATTACCTGCAGTGCAATTTATATTATTTTAATAGGGAATATTGTGTATATTTTCCCCAATGCATTATGCATTAACTACAGTGCAAAATATTCAGTGCCTAGTGTCATATACATTTTCTAGTGCCATATAGGTTGTTAGATTGCCAGTGTGCAAAGTGTAGTATTTTGTTTGGCAATGTACCTCATCTGAGGTGCAAGATGCATTTTCTATAATACAATATTAAGCACATCATCTACAGTACAATTTCAGTTATTTTACTGGAAAAAGCACTTCTTTTTTGTTTTATGTTGTATGAAGACAAAGAACTTTTTGTTCTACTCTTTAAAAAAAAAAAACAATGAAGTGGACAGCGTTGGAACCCCTTTACCAATTTATTCAATTGAAACACCATGGTATGCATGAATTTTCATTTAGATTGCATTATTCTAACCCACAATATAACCAGAGTAATGATGTTTAAATCGTGGAAAAACAGTACTTTGTGGTCTGATGTTGTACAGGGGTATGCATATCTGATGCGTAACTTAAAACTTTTATTTTAAGTAAATCATGCAAATGTGCATAATGCCTGTATCAAATACTACAGACATTTTGTTTTAGCACATATAAACAAAGATCAGCTGGTTTGACTTGGATCTAATGTGCAGCTTGGATCAGATGCCCCATGTTGGGTCATTCCAGCAACCACAACAACTTTGTAACCATGTAGGCCCCCTCCCTCTTTTCTTTCATCACAGTTTTCCAGCTGATAAAAATGCACCTTGGTAGCAACAACACTCAACCCAGAGAATGAGCCTCTGAGAGTCATTGTGTAGGGTTTTATAGGAGACACAATAAAGTGTGAGGCAGTGGCCATGATTGGTTGGAAACACACACAGCCTGAACTGTGGTGGGCAGCAGGGAATGCTGGTAAACTCAACAATCTCCCTTAAAATTAGAACAGGTCAAAGAGACAAGAGAGGAAGTCTGGAGGCCTGGGTGTGGAAAAGCAGAGGAAGAAAGACAGAAGACAAAAACAAAAATATAAAAAAAGGGAGGCAGCA